CTTCCACAAGAAATTGCACTAAAAAGACTGGAAGGGGCCTCATCTGGACAAATCCTACTCCCTTACCATCTCACAGATGAAAAGACAGAGAGGTGAAGTGATTCAGTGTCACACTGCTAGTTAAGTTTAGAACTGAGGCTGGATCTCAAGTCTCTTGACTTGGAGTCTAGAATTCTGGAATCCTGCTGTTCCAAGTGTGGTCTGCTCACCAGCAGCATTTACATGACCTAGAGTTTATTAGAAAGGCAGACTCTCAAGTCTCACCTCATACCTATTAAATCAGACTCTGCATTTTAGCAAGATTCCCAGGTAATTCTTTTGTATATTTAAGTATGAGCAGCACTGACCTGGGACATCACAGAGCTTCCTGTTTCTTTCCTGACTTGAAAGTTGTCTATGATTGAATGAGAGACTATCTCAAGCAGTTTGGCCTCATTGTTCTCTCTTGAGCCCTATTGATCCTGATCCAGACTAATCGGATCACTAAAGATGCAGACTTACCACTACCATCCCCAGTCCTTGTTTATCTGGGACAACCTCTGGATGCCAAGCTGAGTGTCCTGAAATTGTGTCATATGACTCTCTCTTCTTGGGAGAGAGGTAGTAACAGGGCTTTGAAGCACTTGTACTCAGGAGTCTGCCCGCTTGGGCTCAATTCCTGGCTTTGCCACTTACTTAAAGTCTGTGACCTTGGATGAGCTGCTTATTTTCTCTGTGCTTCAACTTCTCACACTGTAAATAAGGATGAGAATAATAGTACTAACTTCATAGTTGAGGAGTAAATGAGTTAATATATGTAAATCACTTAGAATCTTCCACTTAGCAAGAGCAATGTGTTAGTTATTTCTCATTCTTCTGGGACCCCTTCCAAGTAGAATCAAAATCATAAATGAACTTAGTCTCTGGGAATTTCTCAAGTCTGTATCTTCTGGGCTCAGAAGGGACACCCTGACCATGGTTCCAGGTGACAAGAGTATTCACTGGTCCAGTGCCATGCTCCAGCAATCAGAACTACACTGGCATCAGAAGCTAGACCAGGGAGAAGGGGCTCTCCTTGGCCGAAAGCTTTTGGTCTTCTGGCATGTGATGCTCCATTGTCTGTTGCTAACATTTTTGTTCAGTCATCAAAGAGCTTTAAAAAAATGCACCTGGGTCTAATTACATAAGTTTCAGAACCATTCTGAATACAAGAGAGGGGAGCAGGATGCTAAGAAACTTTAAACACATCACTACATGGCCACACTGCATTTTAAAAGGCTTTCTTAAAGCCAAATCTATTTCCTTTCTGGTCATCGCTTGGAACCTTAAAAGCTAGCTCACTCAGGAATTTATAAATAAACATTGTGCTTTTAAAAACATTATATTAAAGTTGAATTATAATTTGGTCTTATTGGAGGACATTGAAGCAGAATTCATTTTCTTATTGAATGAGCATCTATGGATTTTGCAATATGGCCTTTTAAGCTTTCTATTCCAGCCAGCCACAGACTCTCAAAGTTCCAAATTTCTTAAAGTTCATTTTATCTATTTCCTCATCCAATATTTGACTCACCTTCATAATATCTCTACCCATTTTTAAATATGCTCAATTCTCTTTAGAAAAATGGAAGAAAGCCAAGGGTAATTTAATGGTAAAATTCTAAATTCACTTAAAAAATATTTTTAATTTCAAGAATAAGGCATGTTATGAACTAAGAGACAGCATAAATGAATGTAAAATGCAAATTAACCAACAATGAAAAATTTATTATTCTGCGATAAACCAATTATACCGGAAATACTGCAAACATTATAAGAACTAACTGAAGAGCCTAAAGGCAGAAACACATAGAGAGGACATTTCCAATAAACCCTTGGTTTGAGATCTACTCCTTTTATGATGATTCTATTTTATTGGATATGGCTTTAGAAATTCAGAAATGCAAGTATTCTTAATGTTTTATGTAATAAGGAGAAGATTTATTATATCATCTTTTGGTCTGAATTAGAGGAGTAAGAATTATGGAATTAGTACAGTAAGTCCTCACTTAATGTCGTTGATAGATTCTGTGACTTTAAGGGAAACGACATAAAATGAAATCAATTTTTCCATAGGCTAACTGATATAAACAAGAGTAAGTTCCCACAACATCTCATCAGTGTTATAACAGGAGGACGTTATTCAAGGACCTGCTTTACTAAAAAGAAATCTTGGTGGTTATTTTTGTTCCAATAAAGAATTGAAGTCCCAGAGAGGCATATTGGTATCAGGGTTCCGGGGCCTAGAGTAGTCTCTGAAGGATGAAATCAGAAATAATGGGAAGCTTGAGCTCAGTACCTAATCACCTGAATGAAGCCCTGGCTCGGCCCCTCAAGAACAGGGCCTGGCCCTTGCCAGTTAGCAGCATACTGCAGTGACGGAATTAAGTATGATGACACCTCACAGCCCCAGTTCACAACTGAAGACATGTCCTGTATAAAAGCAGACTAAGCACATTTTGCTTTGATCCAATTCAATGCCTGCTGAGTGTTTCATTGACTCAACATCCCCATTACAGATCAGGAGAGATTTGGCACTAGGGGCAAAGATTAGTCTGAATGACTGCCTCCTCAATCCTCAAAGACCACTGTGCGTGTTGACTTATCGGTTTTCCTCTTCAGCAATAAAGAAATTCCAGTGCAAAAATAGTAACATATTCGTCATAGATAATCAATGAAACAAAGTGGCTAAGAACACAAGCTCCATGGTCATAATGCCAGGATTTAAATCTTGGCTCTACCACTTAGTTGCAGAGTGATCTTAAATTGTGTAATATCTCCGTGTTCATTTTCTCAACTGTAAAAATGCAGACTATTATAATATTATCACATGGGATTGCTATTAAGATTAAGTGAGAAAAAATACTGAAAGAGTGAAAATGAATCCTCTTAGTAATGAGACTGCAGTGTTCATACTGTAATGTCAACACAATATTTCTAACAGACCATATACAAGGCCACAGTACTGCTATAAAATGACTAACAGTTCCTTCTTCTGAGTGATTTCTGCTTTCTTTTTAATTAAATCTATTGGAATAAAATTACACAGGTTTCAAGTGTAAAATTGTATAATACATCATCTGTATATTGCATTGTGTTCACCACACAAAATCAAATCTCTGACTGTCACCATATATTTGACTCCCTATATCCTTTCCTATCGCTCCTCTTGCCCTTTTCTCTCTGATAACCACTAAATTGTTGTCTGTGTCTATGAGTTTTTGTTTGTCTTGTTCATTTGTTGCTTTCGAGTTTATATTACACATAAGTGAAATCATACGGTTCTCAACTTTTTCTGTCTGACTTATTTTGCTTAGCATGATATTCTCAAGATCCATCTGTGTTGTCTGATTCTGCTTTCTTACCAATATCATCTCTGGTCTCACTTTGTTCTTCTTGCCTCCATAACAAAATTATTGAGATGTGCAATTGATGGACTGCCCTTGCTTCATTCATTTCAAAACAAGTCCCTGCTTCCCTGACACCATCTTAAAAATACCCAGCATAAGTCTAAATCTTAGAGTAAGCCCCTCCCTCTCATTCCTATAGAGACATCCTCAGGTGTACATACTCTTTGGCTTTAGTAAGCTAATTAAACTTAACCTTGTTTGATTTCAGGTGTGCTGGTGGTCTTTCATAGGCTTTCACCATACTGAGCACTTACTATAACATACTGTATGCACAAGAAATGCTACCTATTGGCGGTAGTAAGCAAGTCTTTGTTTTCCCCAACTTCTTCATGTGGTATATCTCAAGACATGTTTGTTCAATGAAGGGCCATACATAAGTAACTAGGAAGCCATGCAGCACAGCTAGGTAAAAGAGATGTAATTTTTCTGCCAAAGTCCCGTGTTATTTGGAAGTTCCCAGGGTAATTGAGACAGTAATTGATGCAATTGGAAGAGCAAGCAAAGCAAAGATTTTGAAGTCCAAGTAGTAACCAGGAATTGACCATTGCCTGGAACTTTTAAAGCAGGTTAACCATATCTCTAAGAAAAAGAGGGAATTAAAATAGCTAAACTTTAAAGTTATTGTTTCTGAATTTCTACAAACACCTATTTGACAAATAAGGAAATGAATTTTTGGAGTAGTGGAATGAGTGCCCAAGGTGCTCACATGATTAGTCTGGGTATGGAACCTAGGACAAGGACTTGTTTGTACAAAAGGTATATTAGCTACCTATTGCTGTGTCACAAAGTACCCTCAAACTTAGTGACTCAAAATAAGAGTAATCATTTATTCTCTTTGGTAATATCTTCTGGTTAGGAACCTGTGAGTTCTTTGGCTGAGTGGTACAGGCTCAAGGTCTTTCATGAGTTGCATTCATATGAAAGGTTGCCTGGGACTGGAAAATCCACTTCCTAAGTGATTCGCTCCTGGGCTGGAAAATTGATTCCTCTTCATATGGGCTTCTCTACAGGGCTATTGAAGTGTCTTCAGGACATGACTGCTAGCTTTCCCCAAAGGAAGCAACCCAAGAGACCAAGACAAAAGTAGCAATACCTTTTATGACCCAGCCCTGGAAGTCACACATCATCACCTTGGCCATTCTAGGTTAATACACGCCACCCTGTTTCAATGCTGGCTCTGCCCATCTGCCAGATGAGCTATTTTAGGCCAGCTCCAAAATTCTCAATCTGTGTTCCCTCATTTATAAGAGAAAAATAATTTCCTTTCAGGGCTATTTTGAACTTAAGCCAATATAAGAATATTAAGCGCTGCTTAGTACAATGAGCTACGCCACAAAAGGCATTATCTAGAAGTGATTTTGCTTCCTTAAGAAGCCTGTCCCTAGTACGCGTCTAAAGTTTAAACTCCAAATATCCTTTTTTTTTTTTTTTTTAACCCCTTGAGAGACGACTCATTCCCCACCCTCCCCACCCTCCCCACCCTAACTCGAATCCAAAGTCGGACTATTAAGAAGGCAGAACTCTAGTTCTGGGAGCTGACCCCAGTGCCCGGAGTGCATTGCGGAACGGACCGGAAGTAGCTGTCGCGCTCTTTTTCCGTCCCGGAGCGCTTCGGCCGACAGCCCGCAGGACGGCTCCTAAAGGGGTCTCGGCGGACACGTGACGGCAGCGTGGGGACACTGAAAATAAAGCAGCGGGGTCACAGAAGTGTAGCGACCCGACCCCTCTCTCCCGCCCCTTTATGCTTGGTTGGAGGCTGCTGGCTCAGGCCGGCGCCCAGGTCCTGGGCCGCGGCGCAGGGTGTCTGGGTGCTGCTCAGAGCTCGGGGAACAGGTGGGTGTGGGCGAGAAACAGGGTTTGGGTGTGTGGTTCCTGCAGAACTGCGGCTTTAAGCAGTGGCATGATCTGGCACGGAGGAGTTTGCTCTAGATGGAGGAGGAAGGAGCTGTGTCCAGCTGAAGTAAGGAAGAGTAAGGAGCGTTACTCTAAGGAAGTGCCCTATAAAAGACTGAAAGGGTGATTTTGTTTTTAAGGCTTATGAGCCAGCGACTGACCGCGAGCATTACCAACAGCAATAATATCTGCCAGTTAGTGAGCATTTTCTATGTACTAGATGCTCTTTTAAGTATATTAGGCACCTTAGCTCATGTACCCTCACTTGAGAAAACTATCATTATGTTTTACAGATACTATAATTATTCCGTAGTACCATTATTCAGTTTTGCAGATAAAACGAAGGCTTGGAGAGAAGAAACTTGCCAAGGGTCACTTAACTAATAATTGAAAAATTGGGACTCTAACTTCAATCTACCTGATTACACAAGGTAGACAACAAAAAGCTTTACTTCTTTTCTGCCACTACGTGCAAATATTACCTCCTTCCTGACCTCAGGCCCATAAGGTCTTTTTTGGCTGTTAAGCTAATCAGTGATCATGTCTTTTATGGATCTTTTAAGTTTGTACATCCGGTTTCTTTACTCTGAGCGTAGGCCATGTCATTGCAGGGAAGAGGTGAGCTTATTAGAGAAAGATCAGCATTCCATGTTCTGCCACTTCCACTGGATATGAACTATTAAGGGACACGTTCAGATGAGTCAGTGACTTCTGTGTCTAGGAAGGAGTTTTGTTCAAAAACTGTTTATCCCAGAGGATAAGATGAAGAACTTTTCCTCCAGGGTAATCATTAACAATTAAAATGTGAGCCCCATTATTAGAAGGAACATGAGGAAGAAACAACTTGCACAGACTCCATACCTTTTCCTAAGGCCCTGAGGACACTTTCTAATTTATGTGACCTCCCTTCCCTATATTAAATAGGGAAACTTGAATTGTGATTTGTTTTCTAATTTTTATTTTTACAGAACAGATATCTGGCTTTTGATTAGAAGTCTCCATGGCAAGATTGGTGGTACTTGGTGGGATGAGCATCTTTCTGAAGAAAATGTCACATTTGTTAAGCAGTTGGCCTCCGATGAAAATAAAGCCCAGTTAGCAAGCAAACTGTGTCCTCTGAAAGATGAACCGTGGCCTATACATCCTTGGGAACCAGGTAGTTATTTTGTATATGATGAGTTCTCATAATTTGTGGCTGGCACATTCAGAATTATAACTATTTGATAAATTTATCATCTCTTGAATTTATTTTTCGTGTCTGTTTCTTTGTGGTTTGGTTTGCAAGTTTATTTCCAGCATCCTATTCTGTTAGTGAATGTCTGATGACAAACAAGACTTCCTAAAGAAGTTGTTTTGTATGTGAAAGGAGAACAATTCTGCATACATTTTCTTGTTTCCTTCAGAGAAAAAAAAGAATACAAAAATAAGCCAGGGAAGAAAAGCTAAAAGAGTATGTTCTAAATTGTAATGTGTCACACAGGTGTTTTCAGTTGAGATATTTTAGCACTCCAGATTTGCCCAGCGTAACCCCAGAATCAGCTCTTTGTACCTGGTAGAATGCTAAACCCATGGGTAGATGAACCAAAAATAAAGCCTTTCCTGTTGAGAATGTGGTATCTGGTTGGGGTTTATTTTAGCAGTTGAATTGTATAGTGGCCAAATGTTCTTAGTGGAGCAACTTTATCAATTTATGTAGCAAATCTGAGTGTCATGAGGGAGGCCAACATATTTTAGCAATATGACCACTTGTGTCATCCCAATAACCCCAGCTAACTTCTTAGAATTTAAGTGATAGATGTTTTCTAGTTAGTAAGGTTGGATATAAATTGATACTAGTAAAGCAATACATAATGATGGATTTGTCATGCTCTCTATTAGCATTACTATTTTAAAACCAGAATATTTTTAACTATTTTCTTTATTTTGCACAGTTCTCTTATATTTGTTACTTTTATGGAGATTGATTGAGTACCGATATCTTAGGCATGGTTGAAGGTATGTCTGTAAGGAACATTTGTGTTTTTACTCTATGAATATACCAGAATGTTTCATATCTGTCTGCTCCTTATATTGAAACCACAATTTAGAAGTATTATTGCTTGATGTTGGCAAATAGTGAAAAAGCTTATGTTAACCTTTATTTACTTTTCAATTGCCAGGTTCCTCTAGAGTAGGCCTTGTCGCAGTGAAACTAGGCATGATGCCTTTATGGACCAAAGATGGTAAAAAGCACGTAGTCACATTACTTCAGGTAAGAAACAGGAATCTGTACATGTGCCAAGATCTATTTGTATCCCGAAACGTTTGTATGCTGAAACATGTAACTGTGTGGTGAAAATAGAGTAATGTTGAGCATAAATAGTAATAAAAAAAACTTTACTTCTCATGGTTTCATTGAATATTCTCAGTCTTGCTTGAGTGGTGGCCTTCTTAATACTGGCATGGGATAACTGAGGCAATTAATAAAAAAAGATTGTAAACTAGCTTCTCACAGATCTAGTTTAATTCATAATAATAATAAAAAAAATCTCAGTTCCACCTTATTTTCATTTATGGAGATTTTTCAACTCCAAATTACAGTTTTGATCTCTTTGTTAACTCAGAATGTAAACTTTCTAGCGAAGTAGCATTTTGCTCTCTGAGATAAGGTAAACTCTAATGGTTAAGAATGTGGGCCCTGGGACCAGAATGCTTGGCTTCAAGTCTTGGTTCTGCTGCTTCCTAGCTGTGTTTTTTGGAGCATTGTGCCTCATCTGTAAAAGATATAACTTTATTCTGTAAAAGAAATAGTTACAACCTACCTCAAAAGGTTATTGCGAGGATTGCACAAGATAATAATTGTTAAGCACTTAAAAGGTAAAACATGTTAAATGTCCAATAGATGTTAGCTGCTGTTGTCTTTATCATTATTATAGAAAGACCACTGGTAAAGTTAGGAGGCCATCATTCCCCAAATCACTTTGGACAACTCAGTTCATTTTGGGGGTCCAGCCTTAGACAAGTGATTAGGCAAGTGATGGTAATAAAAATGAGAACTATTGCACGTAAGTGCTTAGACTGCTAATAGGCACAGGGAGCCTATGAGCCTTAGTAAATTTTTACTGACTCTGAATGGTCAAGGATAGGATTATAGTTTTCTAGAACACTAAGAACCTTTGGGAACTTTCAGTAATGACTGGTGGTATTGTAAATTGGTATGACCACTTCAGGAAACAATTTAATATTATGTGGTAAAGTTGAGATGAGGAACCTCATAGTCTAGCAATTGCATGTTACTAGAAAACATAAACAGGTGGGCACCATGATAACTGTACAACAGTATTTATAGCAGTATTACTTTTAATACTCCAAAAGTAGAGGTAACACAATTGTCTATCATTAGTAGAATGGGTAAATAAATTATGGTGTGTTCGCATGATGAAACGCTGGATAGCATGAAAATGAACAGAATAGAGCTACCACAACAATGTGGATGAACTTTACCAATACAATCATGAGTGAAAGAAGGTGTGGAAGGGTACATATAATCTGATTCCATTTAAATAAAGTTTAAAAGCAGGCAACACTAAACTACATTATTAAGCAATACTTTCAAAGGTAATATAAAGAAAAGTAAATGATTACCATAAATGTCAAGAGTAGTGGTTATTTTGGGGCTGTGCTTCTAAACTTTAATGTGCCTCAGAATCACTCAGAGGGCTTATAAAGCACAGAGATTCTGATTTAGTAGGTCTCTGCTGAGTCTGGGAACCTTCATTTCCACCAAGTTCCCAGGTGATCCTGATGCTATTTATCTGTGGACCATGCTTTGAGAGCCACTGCTCTAGGGGTTTTTTGTTGTTGTTTTTTTTGTTTTTGTTTTTTTTTTAAATGGAGTGTTTGGGAAGAGACACACAGACATTTGGGAGATTTTGCTTCTTAAATGAGTAGTGATTCCAAGAGTATTTTCTCTATAAATACTCAATTTATTATATGTTTGTGTGTTATGCACCTTTTTATGTGTTGTATTTGACACTTTTTTCCAAAGGTTATCTGTGTTTGGTGTTAAATGAATGATAAGTAACTTTAGAGAATTCCTAATTGTCCTAGGGCCTCAATGTGGCTGGTATGTAATGTTAAAATGTATCTTGGCACAGACTTAGTTTTATTTAATATTTGTTTCTTTTAGGTACAAGACTGTCATGTTCTAAAATATACTCCAAAGGAAAACAATAATGGAAAAATGGCAGCCCTAACTGTAGGAGGAAAAACTGTGTCCCGTTTCCATGTAAGAATATATTTTCATTCTTAGAATAGTACATTTCATTAGTTTCAGATCTAAATTCTTTAAGTTCTGAGCATTTTCCATAGCCACAAACTTACGTTTATCAATGAGGTAACTTGTGGATTTGAGAGAAGCAGTCTAGTAGATCTACAAAGCCCAGGAGTCGTAGAAACTGAGTTTGTCCCAGTACCTCCCCTTGCTGTCTGGAACCAAGTGACTACCCTATAAACTGCAGTATTTGCCATTTATAAAATGAGAATAAAAATACTGCTTATGTAAGAGAATTGTTACCAGGATTACATGAGATTTTTCAAATGTGCCTGGCATGTGATAATAAATGGTACCTATTTGGTTATTTTGTTGTTTTATGTTTAATTTCAATTTTTTTCTAAATTGTTTCAACAGTTGACTCCAACAGCTTGTGAGGGTTAATTTTGTATATATAAGAAGGAGCTTTCAGTATTTGGGAGAAAGCGGTATACAAACCCACATCAGATTTTTTTAATGAAGCATTTTTTCCCAGGTAGAATACTAATAGAATACTGAGTTTGTAGTTTAAATTTGAGAAATCTGCACAATTAGTATCCTTTTTTGGATCACTAAAAGCAGAGCATACCTTTCTAGAAATAGTGATGGTTTTTACTAATGTGTACTAAAACATCTTTAGGTCTACTAAAATGTTACTTATTTCTAAGATAAATGGTTTTTATTGTAAATTGTTTATGAAATGAACATAGGTGGAAATTAGGATACAACTTATACTATGCAACTTTCAAAACTAGCAAGTGCCTATTGTGTGTCTCCTGTTTCCTTATCATAGTTAAATTTTATTGAGCACTTATTATATGCCATGTACATATCTATTAAGCCTTTACATTTATTATGCCTTTACATCTACATAGTAAATGTAAAGGCTTACATGTAAAGGCTTACATGTAAAGGCTTTACATTTACATAATAAATGTAAAGGCTTAATAGAAATGTAACTTTTTCAGCCTCTGAGGCTAAACCAGGGCCACCCGCTGGTAAGAAGTAGAGTGACAAGCAGACTCCAGAGCCTTTCTTAACTGTGTCTTGATATCCACCCTCTGGGAACACATAGGCTAGTGGGGAAGAGGGACAAATAAGTAAGCCATCTCAATATAGCACAAGCACAGAATGGGAGATGGCAAATCCTGTTTGGGCAAGTCCTTGGAGATTTCACAGTTTGGAGACCCGAAAGAAGAATATGTTAGATGCATGCCAGAGGGAATGGCCTCTGCAGAAGCAGAGACGTGGAAGAGTTACGTATGCTTGGAAAAAGTGTTGTGTGTCTTGATCTTGGTGTGCGGGGCCAGTGGGGCAAGGTGGCAGAGGTGTGACTGTCAGGATAGAGGGCTAAGGAGTTTAGACTTTTATCTTCTAGACTCCAAGGAGCTTTCTGAATTCTTTAACCAGGGCAGTAACATGGTCAATTTTTTATCTTTGTTTACTAAATCCTAAGAATCTGGATGCAGGGAGGACATTCAGAGGGTTGTTTTAAGCACTAAGGGAGAGTTGATAAAGGTTTTTGAACCAGGGCAGTTGCATTGGGCTTGGAAGCAGCAGGGACATGTAAAAGACTGGTGAGTTTGAATGTATGGTGAGAGGACTCAGGCATAGAGCTGTTTCTAACTAAGCAACTGGGTCAGTGCTTATGCTATAATCAATATGGACAAGGAAAGAGAAACTTTGGAGGAAAAATGTGTTTGAGGTGTTTAGAGAAAATCTAGGTGGAGTTTTTCTATAAGTAATGATATATTGATCAATAAATTGGTAGTGGTTGAAATCATCAGATTCTTATTTTAATAGGATTATGGGCCATGTAAGGCCTGTCTTATAAGTATTAATTAGCTATTTTTTGCATATTATGGTAGTATGGTTTATTTTTCATTAAGGTTTTAAAGCAGTTTCTGTTCTGCTATTCTTGACAGTTTATTGACTGATAATTTCAGGGTTCAAATAATTCCACAGTAACTAAAAGGACAATGAGATAGTTATGAAAACTTTTCTTAAAATGTCAAATGTTTGCATTTATAACTGTGTAAATAGGTGCCAGCCTTCACCTGAATCATGTGAATAATTCTTTGGTTTGATAGATACCACTGTTTTCTGATTGATTGTATTTCTGTGTTTTTGTTATGGCTAGCACCGTCATCTTTATTTTCATTACCAATTGTGTCTACCCACAACTTTACAGCCTCGGTATTTGTAAATCAAGCTTCCTATAGGGCTAATCCATTCTGCTTCAATAGATCTGTAAACATTACTTCTTCCTAAGTATGAGATAGCAGAAAAACAAGTGGGCGTGTGATCAGAAGAGCTAAGTTCTAATCCTAATTTCTGTCATTAGCTCCTTTATTCCACCTTTTTGAACATCCATTTTCTTACCTCTGAAAATGGAATTGGACTTGATGATCTCTAAATGCTCTCCTAGTTGTAAAAGGTCCCACTTTGGTTCTCTAATAATTTTCTTTTCCAAAATAAAACAAAAGCTCTAAAAAAAATGTACTTGCCAGCCTAATTCATACTGTCTTACTTAGTGATGAAGATGTCTAACAAAATTTTATTAACAATACTAATAGCTAAATTATTACAGAAATGATAGCTCCACACTTTAATGTTTGGGACTCTGATCTACATGTTTTAAGCTTTATCTCTTCAATGAATATATAGCACAGCAGGTGATTTGGATGCTGTATTCTTACGTTGTGGGTTTTAATCCACTTATATAAACTTTTTAAACTATCCAGTATAGGTAGTGCTACATAGGCCCTTCTTATTCTTCTAGAGATAAATTTTCTAGGTCCAGAAGACATATATTATAATATTAAGAAAAAGTTTTGTCTTCGAATGCCCTTTCTTCAGAATGGTATGTGAAAATGAAGTTTTAGAATTCTTTATAAGTAAAAGTTTGATTCAGAAAGGAAAACAATTTTCAAAACTAAAAGTATACAAACTTCCTCTCGCATATTGTAACCCTCAGAGAAACTACAAGTAGATTGATTATAAAGAGTTTGTTTTATTAAAAGAAAGACCTATGAATGAAAAATATCAAATAGTTAAGCATTCTAAAATAAATTGATTAAATCAATTTTACTGATAATGAAGCTAGAACTGTTATTTTAATCTAAAGAATTTATGCTTCCAAGAAATTAGACTACTTTGCTTCTACTATTTTTGTACCTTATTATAAATAAAAACTGATGTTGGTACATAGTATTTTTGAATAAGGAAGTACAGTGGCCTTAAAAGTTGATTAAATCATTTCATCTTAGGAGCAGAGAAGCATTTTCATTGTGAGAAGGATAATTGCAGAGAACTTTGAAGAGGAGGAAAAACACAGTCTCATAGATGGAATTATCCAAGTGTGACATTGCTGTCAGTCTTTTAAATTGCCTTTTGAAATTATTTATTTGGAAGGTTAAAAAAAAAAAAGCCTTTGTTACATTACTGCTGGTTTCTACTCATCTTGAGCATTTGTTTTTTCACACAACTGATACCTAATTAGTTTTATGATATTTTGACTTTAAAAGAAAAAAAATTAAAGTATTCAATTTTAGTGAAATTGGAAGATAACTATGTATTACTTTTTTTTTAATGTCTCAGACTATAGTTATTTAAGTCAAGATGTTTATCTTGTCCATTTGGTATTACTGAAACACTAAAAGATTTTTCAGAAGCCTCCTTGTATATTTAAAAATTGAAAATAATTAAATAATAGGCTTTTTAAATCACCAGGTAAAATGCATGAATGTCAAAAAATAAAATTGAAGTCTGTTCTAAAATTTAAGAAATCTGAATCTGATATACCAGGAAAATAATTTTGAGGTGCCATATTTTTAAATGAAACCTTTTGTGTTTGCTCTTTTTGTGGAAGTGAGTATGACTGAGGATGAAAAGCAAGGGCCTTGATAAAATGAAGTTGAATGTTAATCTTAGATTCAGCATGTGGGAAGTGAAACCTTAGAGAATGACTGGAACAAATTTATGTTTTCAGCCTTTTGGAGGAAAAGATAGCTTCTTGAGGAAATTTTTTTGAGGTACAAAACAAACTTTTGTGGACATCCAAAGCAGAGCTGCTCATCATTTGTTGCACGGTCCCACTTGAGGGCTCAAGGGAGATTGATTCCCAGGAGGTTGTGGACTGATCCAGAAATTCAAATTATGTGCCTAAAGGCCAGCACCACCCAATTTCATGTCAACTAAAGACAGCCTGCTCAGTAAGTTATAAAGGGGCACTCACAGCCCACATTTTAAACTGAAATTAGCAAGTACCTGAAGTTTGCCACATCATCAAATATTATAGTCTGCAACTAAGTCTAGCCATACATATACTCCATTGGATTTTGTGGGGAATGGTGCTTTGTTATCAGTATATCATCAGTGTTATCTTGAGCTGATTAGAGTTTTTCAGTTGCTGCTATTTTTGCTTTTCTGATTACAAATTACTGTTGTTTTATTATATAGTAGTTTAGTTTCTTGTAGATTTATCCTGTTTATTGTGATCATTATTTTAGGCCTATAATTTTTTAATAACTAGATTTAAAGATAGAGGCCGCACACTCTCAGGCCACAAACGGTGATGTTGTGTGCCAAGAACTGATGCAGCAGCAGTAAGAGCGGAAAGATAGGGTGACTTGGAGAGACAAACCAGATCTTTCCTCAACCTCCTGTGTCTTTTTACCATTCATTTAGCTCACTTTTGCAGAGACTGACTTGCTCCTGTCCTTAGTTCTAATGTTACAGACACAAGTGAATAAACATGCTACCATCCAGATGCTCACAGGCCAGCAAGGATACAGGCATGCACATTTTGATAAATATAAGGTAATACGGATAATAATTGAGATACATACAAGGTCTAGAGGTAGCATCGATGAAAGAGCAATCTACTCTAGTAAGGCTGCCCAGGGAGAGATCCAGACAGGAAATATCACTGGAGCTGGGACTAAACATGTATTTAACTAATTTTTAATGAGCTTTAGAATTGCAGAGTGGGGAGGAGATTATAGGTTAAGAGACTAGCATAGGCAGCCACAAGTGGTAAGCATATGTAGAGTACCATAGCTCATGGGGGGTCTGCTGGTGCTTCATTTTTGATTAGAGGGGAAGTTGAGAAGAGGAAACAGCAGGAGGATAGATATACCTGTGTTGGCTGTATTGTCATTAAAGAGGCACCCTTCACATCAGGAAATATAAAATGGTACAACTTTTTTGGCAAGTCTTACAGCAATCTATATAAAGAATCTTAATTTAAAAAAAAAAATACCCAGGACATTGTGGTAAGGAAGTAATATGTCCATAAAGTTTTCTATTCAAGGATATTTAAAATAGCAGACAAAAAGGTGGAGGTGGAGGGGAAAGAAGATGGCAGGACCTACCAGGAGCTGGAGACAGCAGCAACTAAAGTCTCTGCTCTCGAAAAGCTTACGTTTTGGTGGGATTGGGAGTAAGACAAGGAGGCTGTTTCATAGAAGATAAACAATTAAAGATGAAGAGAAGTACTTTGAAGACTAATAAAGTAGGCTAAGGGGATTGTGAGTGACAGAAGGTGGTGCTGTTTTAGAGTAATCAGGAAAGGTAAGTTGATGTTTGGTTGGAGCCCTGAATAAAGTGAGGAGCAAGTCATACACAAATCTGGCAGGAAATTATTCCAGGCAAGGAGAATACATGTAAAGGACCTGAGGCCATTGTTTAAAGTGTTCTTGGACTAGTAAGGAATGCATTGTACCTGAAGAAGGGTGAGCCAAGAGAAGAGCAGTTAATGAAGTCAGATTGAATAGAACCTCGTAAACCATGGTAGGGACTTAGGACTTGATTCTGCAGGAGATGGATGCCACTGTAGGGACATGATGTAGCTTGAGTTTTAAAGGAAATATGCCAGCCTGTGGATGGAGAACAGACTAGGGGGTCAGGAGTAGAATTTTGGAGACTAGTTAGGAGGCTGTTGAAATAATACAGGCAAGAGATGGTTGGGTGGGGTGAGAGTGAGAAGTGGTTGATGTGGACTGTATTTTTAAAGTCTGCAGGGATTGCTGATGGATAGGACATGGAATGTGAGAAAGAAGAGAGTCAAAGGTGACCATAAGATTTTTGGTACAACAGAAGTATGGAGTTGCCATTTATTGAGATTTGGAAGACAAGAAGAAAGCAGGATGGGGTGGGGGATGGGGGTGAGTTTAACTTTAGACATGTTAAACTTGTGTTGCTGTATGACATCAAAGTGAGATACTGAGTTGGCAGTTTGGACATATGAATTTGTAGTTTGGAATAGAATTTGGGATTGAAGTTAGAAATGTGAGGTCAGTAGCATATGAAGAAACCATGAGTAGTTACTGGAAACCA